GCCTCCCCAGTAGCTGGGACTACAGGCACCCGCCACAATGCACGGCTATTTTTTTTTGTTGTTGCAATTTGGCAGGGCCGGGTTCGCACCCACCACCCTCTATATGTGGGGCCAGCGCCCTACTCACTGAGCCACAGGCGCTGCCAGCCTTCATATCTTGTTTAAAGAATGGGATGACATATATGGGTTGGTTACTCATAGATGACTCACAGATATGATTAAACAAAAGTATAGATGTATATGTGAAGGCAGACTACACTGGAAAACACTGGATTGCTCAAAAAGATTTTGCGAGAGTTTAGGTATTGAAGACAATGGTTACTATGGGATAAAAATCAACATATTTAAAGGATCTTGTTTCCAGAAGTATCAGCTCCCCAAGAACATGAAGCAAAACAAACTTCTCCTTAAACAGACACCCCAAAACTGAATGTTGTTTTTATGTATGTGTGTGTGGTATAGAGACTAGAGCTGAAATTTTGTTGTTAAAATAGATTATTTAGGGCAGTGCCAGTGGCTCAGTGAGTGGAGGGATCCCATGTACCAAGGGTGGCAGGTTTGAACCCGGCCCTGCCAAACTGCAGCAAAAAAATAGCCGGGCATTGTGGCGGGTGACTGTAGTCCCAGCTACTTGGGAGGCTGAGGCAAGAAAATTGCCTAAGCCCTGGGTGTTGCTTGTGGCTCAGTGGGTAGGGCGCAGGCCCCCTATACCCAGGGTGGCAGGTTCAAACGTGGCCCCAGCCAAACTGCAACAAAAAATAGCTGGGCGTGGCTTGGCGCCTGTGACTCAAGTGGGTAAGGCTCCAGCCACATACACCTGAGCTGGTGGGTTCAAATCCAGCCTGCCCAGCCAAACAATGATGGCTACAACCAAAAAATAGCCGGGCGTTGTGGCAGGTGCCTGTAGTTTCAGCTACTTGGGAGGCAGAGGCAGGAGAATCGTTTGAGCCCAGGAGTTGGAGGCTGCTGTGAGCTGTGATGCCATAGCACTCTACCCAGGGCAACAGCTTAAGTCTCTGTCTCAAAAAAAAAAAAAAAAAAAATAGCCGGGCGTTGTGGCGGGTGCCTGTAGTCCCAGCTACTCTGGAGGCTGTGGGTAGGAGAATCGCCTAGCCCAGGAGCTGGAGGGTGCTGTTGAGCTGTGATATCACGGCACTCTACTGAGGGTGACAAAGTGAGACTCTGTCTCTAAAAAAAAAAGAAAGAAAGAAAAGAAAAGAATATTTTAACTTGAATCCAGCATCTCTAAACATCTCTGTGTGGGGCAGTCTTTCTTTTTGGGGTAAGTTATTGTGAGGTGTTTCAAGCTTGATGACATACCTTTTATTATTTTGGGAAAATGTGAAGAAGTAATTTCTAATTAACGAACCATCTAAAAATGTGTTATTTTTAACTATTAGTAAAACAAAAATTACATTGAAATACAATTTTGATATTTTCAAAGGAAGATAACCTTGTAGAAACATGATATATTAGTGTTCTTTAAGAAGAGTTTTCTATAAATTTTTTTTTTTTTTTTGAGTAGTAAAAACTGACACTTGGATCAGATTATAGAAGTTTACACTATTGGAGTTCATACTCTGTTCCTGGACATGAACAGAGATCCTGGATCTGGGTATCAGGTAGTATATTCATCTTAAACAAACTTCCCTGATGGTTTGAGCACAAAGCGCTACGATATAGAACAGAAAGTAAACCACAAAGTGGCTGAACCTGAATTTTGCCTAACCTGGTGATTCTCAAATTTTCTGGTTTCAGGATCCATTTACGCTCTTAAAAATTATTGAGGACTCCAGTTGTGTTAAATCTATTAGTACAAGTTGATTATCCCTTATCCGGAATTCTAGGTATTCAGATATGTTTGGATTTCGGGATATTTGCATACACATAAGGGGATATCCAGGCAATGGGATTCAATTCTTTTTTTTAGAGACTGTCTCACTATGTGGCCCTTGGTAGAGTACTGTGCTGTCACAGCTCACAGCAACCTCCAACTCCTGGGCTAGGTGATTCTCTTGCCTCAGCCTTCCGAATAGCTGCAACTACAGGCACCCACCACAACGCCTAGCAATTTTTTTGTTGTTGCATTTTGGTTGGGGCCAGGTTTGAACTCACCACCCTCGATATATGGGGCCGGTGCCCTATTCACTGAACCACAGGTGCTGCCCCAGGCTTCAATTCTAAACACAGAATTAATTTGTTTCATGTACACCTTATACCCATAGTTTTGATTATTTTGTGCATAAAACAAAGTTTTTTTGTTTTTTGAACTGAACCATCAAAAGGCAAAGTTGTCAGGTATGGAATTTTCCACCTGTGGCATGATGTCAATGCTCAGAAAGTTTTGGATTTGGGGCAGGGTGCAGTGCCTCAAAAATGTAATCCCAGGGCTCTAGGAAGCTGAGGTGAGTGGATTGCCTGAGCAAACAGGTTCAAGACCAGACTGAGCTAGAGCAAGACCTCCTCTCTAAACGTAGCTGGGCATTGTGGTGGGTGCCTGTAGTCCCAGCTACTCGGGAGGCTGAGGCATGAGAATCTCTTGAGTGCAAGAGTTTGAGGTTGCTGTGAACTATGACACCGTGGCACTCTATCAAGGGTGACAAAGTGAGATTCTGTTT